TCCTTTCCTTGACCTCAAGGAGTTGAAAATGTTAGGGGGAGCGATAACAGTATATAAATATTATTAAAACACAAGAGAACCCTTGTTATAAGCTAATGAATAGTCTATACAGAAATGCTGTAAGAATTCATCACCAGTAAATAATCAAGCACAGCTGGCCACTGGAGAAAGCTATCACAGAGGAGGCTAGTTTGAAATAATGTTAAGACTAAGGTGTTTTAGCCCTCCCAGGTGGCCTACGGGTTAAGTCTTAGCCCTATCACCACAACAGCCTGAGTTCACTTCCCGGCCATGGAGCTGACCTACATAGGATGCAGCAGACCTATCCTGTCTCACTTGCTGTTCCCCTCAGCAGTGGATTTCAGTAGATTCATCTGTTCTGCTCCCCACTCTGTCACTGGTGAGTCTTCTCCCCACCCCCCACAACTGTGGTCCTCACCCCAGTTCTTCTATGAAAAAAAAAAAAAAAAAAAGACTAAGGGTGTTTGCTGGTGGGTATGGTGTGGTAACAACCCTGTATCTCTAAATCATATATGATATTGTAAACCAATGTCACCTCAACAACAAAAAAAATAAGCATTTAAAAAAGCCACTCAAGAAAACAAGACTTAGAAATGTGTTAAGGAGGGAAGAGGCTTGGTGGGTAAGGGGATGGTGTGAACAGAGCAGAAAGCCATAAGACTAGATCTGTTGTAGGTAGGGATGGAAGATTCAAGAAGAATGGGGTGGGAGAGAAAGACCATATGAGCAACCTGGGCTTTGAATTAGAAGTTCCAGTTTTTGGACCTCACCCTGTAGACCTTAGGAACAGTTATGATTCACAAAGTGGTAAGGAACAGCTAGACCATGGTTCAGGAAGATTCTGCATATGGAAATAGTACATCAGATCAGAAGGTAGTGTGGAGGAAGGTCTGTGGAGCTGAGAGGAATTTAATGAGGGAATGTTGCGAGGGCCTGGGGCTGATTAGATAGGATCCTGCTCTGAGTGACACCCGGTGTCCATGTCTTGAGTAATGAGAACAAGTGTGAAAATCTGTCACTGAAACAGGAAAGCAGGTAATTGAGGTCAGGTGACATGTTGAGTTTGAGGCTTGTGGAGTTTGAGGTAACAGTTTGGAGAAGTCCAGCTGCAACTGGAGACCAATAAGAATTTGTGTGGATTCTTCTGAACAGAGGCGAACCGAGAGATCATCCCTCCCTTCAGACTTCTCATTTCGCCGAAGAAGGAGACACCTGCCATGTTATGGCGTGATCACACAAGTAGTATTTATGAGGAGATCCTATTTCATAGAGCAAAGAGATCCTATTCTATAAAATGAAAATTCTTCAGGAAAAGATCTGGAAGAAGCCCAGTGGGTCTTGAATCCTTAGATGGGGGAGAACTTGGGGGTGTGGAGTAGAATGTGGGAGCAGGAAGAAGAGAGGGCTGCTAGAGGAAGTCAAGATCTCTCAGGAGGATGTGGTGAGGGCGAGTTAGGGGAGATGGGTGAATAGTGTGCCCTCTGTGGCAGTCGAGGAAAATTCAAACTGAAAAAAGACCCCTCACCTTGAAAAGGAGATGGCAGGGGAGTGAATCCTGGGAGCACAGTAGAACCCACCAGGGACACTGTGAGTGTGGCCCATGACCTCTTTATAGGAACTGTGAGGTCGGTCATTTCATCTTAACAGATGAAGAAGCTGGCAGGAGAGAAGTTAGCCTGCGTGCCTGTGGCCGCATAGCTCCTAAGTGGTGGGGCCAGAATTGTAAGAGCCAGTAGTTCAGAGATTTTTGGCGCCAAGAAGGCTGTGGGGTAGTTCTAGGTTCTAGAAAAGGTTACTTTCCAGATACGCAGACTGACACGCGTCAGGGCAGCCAGCAGAGAGGAAGTGGCTTTGTGGCCTGTGTAGAGTCCAGCACACCAGCACTTGTTAATCCTGAGTCATGGGCAGAGAGAGGGAGGCTTGTAGACACCCAACCTTCTCAGTACCAAAGGCCATTCGTGTTATTCCCCACTTCCCAAAGACACCGGCCTAACAAATGGATATCCACTTTAACTTTGAAGTCAGTATAATTCAGATGGAATGTGGTGTCCAGATCCTAGGCACCCTGGTCAGTGACTTTTGATTATCAACTTGAATGTATCAGTCATTTTCCATTTTGGTTGCTCTCGTGTATATAAACTGCAAGTCAGGATCTAGGATTATCATACCAAGTTAATGCAATTTAGCCAAAAACAAGGGTCCCTGATGGTTTGGTTAGCCTTCTTAGGCTGAAACCTTCTGAGATGTAGAAAATTAGTTCATACTGACTGGGGTAGGCAGGCACAGGCGGGATCACCCTGGTCTTGGCTGGACACGCAGAAAACCATGACCTCCTGCTGCCATTGGCTCTTAGGAGCTGGGCTGAGATAGATAGGGTCTTACTAGTTCTTCAGATTAGAAAACCAATAATAATTCACCACAAAATGTAAAATTAAATATAGGTAGCTAGATATATATTGACGTTAAAGAATTACTGTACATTTCTAAGTTTAATTGTGCTATAGTGATGTTGTTTACAAAAAGAAGCCTTACATTTTGAAAGAAAAAAAAGGAACTCTTACATTTTGGAGATATTTACAGGTGATAGGATGTCTGGTCTGTTTTGAAATAACTCTAGGTCATGGTTGGAGTAAAATGAATAAGACTGGCCTGAATTGATCACTGTTGACCTTGGTAGATGAGGACTTGTATCATCCTGTCCATTCTTATATATATTATAACTTCCTATAATAATTTTTGTTTTTTTGCATGAAAGAACTGGGGTGTAGGCCAGAGATACAGGGGGTGAGAGGATTCTCCAGAGACAGAGTGGGGAGCAGAACTGGCGATTGACTGAAACGTACTGCTAAAGGGAGCAGTGGGCAAGACAGGAGAGGTCTGCTGCACCATATGTAGGTCAGCTCCCTGGCCGTGGATAGAACTCAGGCTGCAGTGGTGACAGCACTGAGTCTTAACCCCCATAGTCAAATTTTAAGGGGTGGAAAAATAAAAGCAAAGCTTCAGTCAAGGTTAATCTGAATGTAATGAAGCTCTTTCTATGGCTATTAAGTAAAAGGGATTTAATACAGGGAATTAAGTTCTATAAAATTGTTAGAAGAGGCCCTTCCTGGTGGCGCAGCGGGTTAAAGCACAGTACTAAGAAGCTAAAGCCACTTCTGCATGCGTTGGGTTCCCTGGAGGAGATCCACATGGTGAGGCAGACCTCTCCTGACCCACCCGCTGCTCTCCTCAGCAGTGTACTTCGTTGATCTGCCTGTTCTCCTCCCCACTCTGTCTCTGGTGAATCCTCTCACCCTCCGCATCCCTGGCCTGTACCCCAGTTCTATATGAATAAATAAATAAATCTTTTAAAAAAAATTGTTAGAAGAGTAGATTCCAGGCTGGCCTTCTAGGATTAGCTCCCAAACACTACCTCTCAGTTCCCAAACACTACCACTCCAGTAAGATGCAGCAAAGCCCAGAAACCAGGAAGCCACTGTTTCAACTGCCCCAGTAACCCATCACTTGAACCAAATCTGATGGCCAGGAATCTGTAGTCGGCTGCAGAGCTATCCGCTGTGTCTCCTGGGATTATACCAGCAAAATGCTGGCTTTGCTCCCCTTCCACCCCCACTGTTCTCTGATTGGTAGAATCTGAACTGTGAAAGAATGGGAAATGTAATTCTCAACTTTTTGTCATCTATGAAAACGGACTTGAAAAAATTGGGAAAAAATTGTGAGCCGAACAATCCTCCACAAAGTGTGTCAGCAATCAAAATTATAGTTTTGCTCATTGATCTTAAAAAATAATTTTGAATTGCGTTTAATTTACAACCTATTCTTTGCTTTCGTTTTCCTGCTTTAATCTTTTCATCAGCTTTGCCTGATGAACCTACAAAACTTGTATTACTCAAGACCACAGACCCTATTCTCGGTGTGTTAATCTGAAGCATCCTAAAATGCTGTGTGTATGTATATTTGGCCTCCATGTCTTTACTCGTTTTTCCTAGTACAAGTCATGCCTTTCCCACTCCCAGTCAGATCCTTCTAGATCCTTGTTTTTAGACAGACTTCAAGTCCTATCTCTTGATAGGTAAACCTTATCTGATTTCCCTAGTTCCTATCTCCTTCCCTCCATTTCTTTCTTCCTTTTTTTCCCATTTCCTCCCTCCCTCCTCCCCTCCTTGCATGCATGCGTGTGTGTGTGTGTGTGTGTGTGTGTGTGTGTCTGTGTCTGAAATCTTCTGAACTTAGTCTTTGCTCTCCCATGTAATTTGGTCTATCATGTAAATATTTTATGGTACACTCTCATTTTATATGAATGGTCTCACTTGCTAAAATTGTCTCTCAGTGTTGTAAAGCCAGACAAGTTTCTTTATTCTGTCCTTTGATATATAATACCATGCAGAGTATTGAATAAGTTTATGTGTTTGATTGATACTATTACTAAAATATATGAATGAGCATACCTAGATAATAATGTATTCAGGCATTGGAAAGGATCAGAAATGTTTTGTGCTGAATAAACTATAATTTGTAACCAATTAGGAACATTGAGAAATAGTAATTGTGGTTGGATTAACATCAAGATCTTCCCACGATATAACTCTAGTTCACCTTTTAATTAATTGCATAATCTGATCATCAGGAGACCATTTCTTTTCTTTCTGGCTTATTTCACTAAGCATGATCCCTTCCAGCTCCATCCATGTTGCTGCAAAAGACGTGTTTATTATTATTTTTTTTTGGTTGCTGGGTAATATTCTATTGTGTATATGTACCACATCTTTTTAACCCAGTCATCCACTTTTGGGCATTTTGGCTGTTTCCAAGTCTGTCCAATTGTAAATAATTGGACAGTAAACATGAGGGTGCAGGTATCTTTTTGAAGAGGAGACCATTTCTTAGAGGACATGTTTCCTTTAAAAACTCTATGGTGTGATTTACATTTGTAAATTTGTATGTATTTTTCAGTGGTACACATTCTTTTCATTTAACAGATATTTGTCGAGTACCCATCGTGTGTCAGGCGTCAACCCTATGTGCACAGAAAAACCTTGGGAGACTCAACACCAGCACGAACACTGCGATTGCCCCTGCTTGCTGAGTTAACAGGTGCCTTTTCCATTTATTTCCTCCTACATTTGCAAAGAGATATTTTCTAAATTTTTTACAAAACTTATTTATTAAGAAGGACCTAATATGCTTTTTTATAAAAGATTTATTTATTTATGCTTACAGAACTGGGGTACAGGCCAGAGGTGCAGGGGCGGTGAGAGGATTCACCAGAGACAAAGTAGGCAGCAGAACAGGCAGATTGACAAAGTACACTGCTGAGGGGAGCAGCAGGCAGGTCAGGAGAGGGCTGCCACGCCCCTAATATGTTTTTAAAAAAATCTTCTGTTCTTCAAAGTATTGGCAATATACTGCATTAAAAAATAGGCCAAGAACAGTGTAGTCCCAACGTCAAATGGGAAGGAATGAATAGGAAGAAGGGAAAGAGAAGAAAAAGACAAGCGAGAGGAAATATACCAGAATGTGCCATTTTTGGGGTGGGAGGACTATGTGTTTTTACAAGATCTGTTCTGAAGTTTTGTGGGGGATTTTGCATAGAAGAACTGGGGTGTAGACCAGAGGATTCACTAGAGTGGGGAGCAGAACAGGCAGATTGATTAAAATCCACTGCTGAGGGGAGTGTCGTGTGTGTCAGCTCCCTGCTAGGGGATCAAACTCAGGTCATAGTGGTAACAGTGCTGAGACTTAGCCCTTCAGCTACCAGGGAGGCCCCTTTCTAAAGATTCTATAGTAATATAGTTGTCATAGATGCAGTCCAATTGTGACATTTCTCTGAAACTACTTCAGATCCCTGAATGTGACCCTCTTTTAAACTTGTTGAGCCCCTCATTAGCCCTCACAGTGAGAACATGATGAACTGAAGGGATACTATTTTTTTTAAGATTTATTTATTTATTCATATAGAACTGGGGTACAGGCCAGAGACGCGGAGGGGATTCACCAGAGACAGAGCAGGGAGCAGAACAGGCAGATCAATGAAGTACACTGCTGAGGGGAGCAG